CCGTGCCTGCCGGGTGCCCGCGGGGCTGCGGGCGGCGGTGAGTAACAGGGAGACCCGAGCAGCTGCTCCTGTCCTGAAAGTGAGTGAAGAAGCAGGTGGCTCGTTAATGCAACGTAAAGGGCCAAAGGTCGCTCGTCGAGAACAACTTCTGATTTTTTCCCCCACCTCTAGCACCTTAACTTTGTAAAACCTTGTGACCTTAATACTTAATGCCGCACTTACCACTTCCCCCCGAAAGGTTTTGGGGGGCGTGTGTGGAAGGAAGAGGTGATAAAGCGGTGGTTAATAGTAGAATTATTGCAGGTAGTATGTGTTGATATTTATTCTAGCAACAGAAACGGGTGTTGATGTATGTTTGGTGGTGTTGGGTTTGGGGTTTTTTCCCTTCCAAACAGGCTAGTCAGCTATTAAAACGGCTGGAAGGAAATTTGGTGTTCTGTTTTGTTTGTTCTGCCTACCTGAAGATGTTATCAGGTTAAAGTATCAGCAAGTGTGTGCTTCGTCTATCTGGTACTTTTAAAGCTTTGGAAACCGGAGGTTCTGGAAGGTTTCTACCTAGTCTGGTTCAATGCCTTGTATTAAAAAGCTTTTTTTTTTTCCCCGACATGAATCTTTTCAGAAAGCAGGTATCTATTTGATAATGACTCTGAAGATAACTGTTGCTGTCCTTTGTAAGCGTGTTGGTGCATTCAAATGCTATTGTGTTCCCTGCTTTTTTCTTTTCTTCTTTTTTTTTTTTCCTTTCAATCCTTACTGCCCCCCTAACTTTCCCCCTCCCCCTGCCAACTTGCTAATTTCTAGGCTCTCTGGTAGATGGACATCAGCTGGGAACTCTGGTGCCCAAAATTGGAATACAATTCTCTAACTCAAGCCACTTCAGACTAAACAGAACAGAAAAAATACCTCCTGCATCTCTGTGGAAAATGTTCATGGTAATATGTTCCGGAATGAGTTGCATGGTGTTTTTCTTTAAACACTGCATCACACTGTTAATTCATTTGGTTTGAGGTCTGTCATAACCCCAGATGGCTTTCTGTAGGATTGCTGCCAAGTCCTCATTCCATATTTTGTCCTTCAGCTTCTGATTTTTCTCCTCTTCCTCTGCTTTCTCTCTTAATAAATTATTCATCTTATTTACTGAGAAACATATATTCTAATTCTAGCCTCCCTGGTGGCTGCAACTCTTCCCAGTTAGGTGCCACCTGCAAACTTCATAAGTATATTCTGTATTTTTAGGTCTGTGTGGAGGCTGAGTCTAGCCTCTGGTCAAACTGTTACTTGCTAGCATGCTATTCTTAATCAGATTGGTAAATGAGTAATAGTTCAGTGGTTTTATTGGGGGAGGGAAGACGGGTTGGCTCAAGGAAGTGACATTGAGTACACAGAGCTTGAATCTCAGTTGGAGCTGTAGTGGTAGAAGGCTGTTCTGGGGGATAAGTGTCGAGTGAATGGTGTCCCCATAGTTCTTGATCTTGTTAGTGATATGCTAAGCACTGATACTAGGTAGCTTGTGTGTGTGCGCGCAGTCCTGTAGGAAACAAGGTTCTGATGCGTCTCTTCGTCCCCGCTTCCCTCTTCCCCTGTCCAGCTGTATAGTTTTGTCAGTGTTAGTAGAGGAACTGGGGACCTACAAGTACATACAGGTAGTTTTTGGTTGTGGGAACGTGTGCTTAAGAGTAGGTTCTGAAGTGTAACCATTAGTTGATGGAGGAGCCTGCAAAAGGATAGTGTCAAAGCGACAGGCTGAAAAAGTTAGAAGCTCCAGGTTGCAAAGCTTCAGGCTAATGTAATGAGAACAACCACCAGAGAGAGAGATATTGGTACAATGCAGGCAGACTTGCTAAGAAAGTAACAAAATGTTAATACATGAGCAACCCAAGCCAAACTGGAAATCTCAAAGATTTTTAAATCCTTACAAGAGTCATGAAAGTTAGTAGCCAGGAAGGGGGCTGTGCTTTTCTAATTGCAGCATGATTTCAGTCTTTATGCTTTCTCTGTTCTTAGCCTTTAGCTTGGCGCAGAAACCATTTGGAGCAACGTACGTCTGGAGCAGCATTATCAGTGCACTTCAAACTCAAGTGGAAGTGAAAAAGCGTCGCCAGAACCTGAAGTGCTATCATGACTGTTTTATTGGTTCAGATGCAGTGGATGTTGTCTTTGCCCATCTTCTACAGAACAAGTATTTTGGGGATGTTGATATTTCCCGTGCTAAAATAGTGCGTGTATGTCAAGCGCTGATGGATTACAAAGTATTTGAGGCTGTTTCAACTAGGGTCTTTGGAAAAGACAAACGGTCTGTATTTGAAGACAGTAGCAGTAGCCTCTACAGATTCACAAATGTCTCAAACCAAATGGAACTTGATAAAGATCACCAGCAGTGTACACCACAAAGGTTAGTACATGGAACATGAAGATAAGAAATTTTTTACAACAGGAAAGTGTTACGTATTCTGGGAGAGAGAAGGGAAAGCTGTTGTATAGTTACAGGACCTGGGGGGGAAAAAGTAGATACTCTACAGATGTTTGTGGGTGGAACATAGGTAGGAAACAGCAATTTGAAGTGATTAAATAATTCAGCCTGCATAGTTACTTGTTTTCTGTGTCTGTTATCACATTGCCGTGGGGGAGGGGGGTAGCAGGGTAGAAATTAAGTGCATTGCAGATACTGATCTATTGGGCTCTAAACCAATATAACCAACTGGAATTCAGGTGCATCAGGCTAATGCAATGGAATGATCTTTAGTCACTGTGTACCTTGCTCTAGCATAAGCCAGTAATTCATCCAGTTTTTAAGGAAAAAACCAGGTAAAAATTGCTTTCTTCTTTCATTATCTTAGCTTCACTGAACTTCAAATTTAGCTTTTTGAAATGTTTTCAGCTGTTTCTTCATGTGCATATGACTTGTTCCCAGGCTAGGTAGCAGGCTGTTGTGCTGTGCTATTGCATGCCATGGTAGACCCAGAGGGAAGTGCAACTGTGAGGTTTTGTTTCCCTGTCTCTTTAGGAGTGAGCGAAGAAAACCCTGGTACAAACTAAACCATCACAAAACAGAACACGCTGCTATGTAGATGACACTTTGCCAAATAACTTCCCTTAAACAGTTTTTGTCAAGTGTTCATCTCTGAACATTTTCCAACATATTCTTACAAGAAACTACATTCATGTAGTTATTGCAATAGTTTTAGCAATACGCACTTTTGAAAATTGCGAATAGTATTGACCTAAAAAGAAAATACCTTGTGATTGATGTATTCATGAGAGTAGCAAATGTGAACTTCAGTGCATCAACCCAACTCATCAGAAAATTCTAGAAGCAGAGATTAAAAATGGATAGTTC